CTGTCCCTGGACATATCAACCTTCTTCCAACTCCAGGTTGGGGACTCTTGCACAGCTGTCCCCTTACTCCATCCTGGTTTCTATGGAAACCTCGCTGTAGAAAGAACTTTCCTCAGCCCCAGATTTAAGCTCCCTTCTCTTCTGTTTTCCTCTTGGTCACAGCACTGTCTGTTCTTACACTGTTGCTTTCTATGTTTTCTGCCATCTTCTCACAGCGGAAGTTAAACTCCACGACAGCACTGGGGAGTCCCTCATCGGGCCCACTGCAGCAGGCCCGGGGAAGCACACCAGGGAAGCGTGCGGTGGCTCCTTCCTGACGGGCTCCTCTCTCTGACAGGGGCAGGGATGTGCAGGGTCACTCATGTCCGGCCCTCAAAGCAATCTTCCTGAAATTGAATCCTGCCTGTCTGGCATCCTGCCCTGCTCAGAGCTCTGGCTCCTCCAAAACCAACAAGGGAACTCATTTCCCAGGCACCAGTCGGCAGAGTGGCCGCACCAGGGCAGGGCGGCTGCCCTATGGCAATGCAGAGAAGGCCCTGACTGAGTTAAATCTCTTGGATAAGGAACATTAAGAGGAAGGAACCTCACACTTTTCTCTAGACATGGGGTTTAATATCCTATCCCACTCTACTGAGGGTGACTCCCAAACACAGCACAGCAGGCTCCCCACTTCCTCATTCCAGAACAACCTCCTCCACTACCAGAGAACTCCTGCCCTTCAGAGTTCAAATGTCACTGTCTAAGCAAAGATTTCCTCTACCATGGAGGTTCCTCTGACCTCAGGACTCCAGGTCAGCACCACCCCTATCTCATAGCTAGACCTGAGCTTTGGCTGTCCAGGTCACAGCGGCTAGTCTCAGGCTATTCTATGGGATTGCAGAGAGGGAGCAGGTCTGAGGTCAGCGCCGGACCTAAATAAAAGCCCAAGATTATTTCTTGTTGGGCTGTGTCCTTGACCAAGTCACCAAGTCTCATCCACAGGTCCCTTCCCTGTAAAATGGACATCAAATAGTACCTACCTTTCCCCCCCCTTCTTGACAGGGTTTTTCTGTGTAGCCCTGGCTGTCCTGGAACTCTCTCTGTAGACCAGTCTGGCCTGGAACTCACACAGATCTACCTGTCTCTGCCTCCTGAGGGCTGGGATTAAAGATGTGTGCCACCACCGCCTGGCTCAGAGAGTATCTACTTAATAGGACTTGAAGGACTGAGAAATTCCACCTACATGGTGTCCCTGCCACGCAACGCAAGGCCCTGGGCCAGGCACATACAGCAGGGCACTGTACCCACTTGGCTACTGGACAGGAGGACTCTGTCTCAGGAAGCTTATCAGGAAGTTTATCAAGGATGGTTCTTCTGTCTGGTGACTCCTGCCCTCAGCCTAGGAACAAGTGACCTATTGCTCCCTAACCATACACCCACAGAGGGCTAGGGACATTCCCTGGCCCTGGGGAAGTGGAAGTTTAAGGAGACCAGGGCATACAGCAGCAGAGAGATGCATGGCTGCAAACCCACAGTGATTCCATTTCCCCTTTCCTCCGGCGGAAATGGGGAGAAGAGTCAGGCTAGCACGGGGAGAGCCACTCCTTCCTAGCCGTGGTTTCAGGAAAGCACAGCCACGTGTCAGGTTTGCCCAACACTCCCCACCCCATCCTGCCCCGCCAGAATGCCCCTAGTTCAGTGACTCTGCGGCTTCTGACCTGCTAGGGTTGGCGGCTCAGACTCTACTCCATTCTTTAGTGATACTGGGTAAAAACTGAGGAAGTCCAGTTCCCAGAGTCAGTCTGGAAAGGCCAGTGTCTCACAGGGAGCTGTCGACTGCACAGGCTCCTCCCAGGCCCAGCTCTGACCAGATGAAAGCCCACATTTGCCTCACTCCAGCCAGGAAACTTTCAGAGGGGCACACAACTGACAAAAGGGCATGCTCTCCGCTGTCCTCTGTCCCATTGATATGCTAGCTGCTCTCGTGGACACCACTGAGACAGAAGCAGAGCCTGGGTCATGGCTATGCATTTGAAATTAAGGTAAAGGCTTTAAATCTCTACCAAGTGACTTTGAACCAACCTCCCTCAAAGGCTCAGCTTCCTCATCTGTAGAATGGAGGCAACAAGCATTCCCCCACACCTCCCAGAGAAGGAAGCCTCTGCCCTGGGCAGCAGTGAGAAGAGATCACAGGGAGGAGGAGCTACCTGAGGCCTAGAAGAATCCACCTCATGGGGAAATTGGGTTTGGGGGAGATGCACAACCCTGGAGGCAAAGGAGCAACAGAGGGTGGAAGAATGCTCACTGGTGTGATTCTTAGCACACACACCCGTCCATTAACTCAATACTCTCTTCTGACCGCCAAGGGCATGTGGCATACACAGTGTACAGACGTACATGCAAATAAAACACTCATGTACATAAAAAATTTCATTTTTTTTGAGACAGGGTTTCTCTATATAGCTTTGTAGCCTGTCCTGGCACTCTCTCTATAGACCAGGTTGGCCTTGAACTCACAAAGATCCTCCTGCCTCTGCCTTCAGAGTACTGAGATTAAAGGTGTGTGCCACCGTGGCCTGGCAAATTTCAAAATCTTTTAAAAGGGAGAAAAAAAGCTGGGCATGGCTGTACACGCCTTTCATTCCAGCACTTGGGAGGCAGGTGGATCTCTGAGTTCAAGGCCTGCATGGTCTACAGAGCAAGTTCCAGGACAGCTAAAGCTACACAGAAAAACTTTTTCAAAAGAAACAAACCAAACCAAACCAAAAAATTCTTTAAAAAAAAAAAAAGGCAGCAACAAAGGCCTAGACATCCAAAATGACCCCAAACACCAACATTTTAGGGCATCCCCACGGTATCATCCCTTTCTACTCCAAAGTTTAGGGGTATTTCCTCATAGCAATCATGGAAAGAAGTCACTCCACAGAGAAGGACCAGCTCTCCTTTCTCTGAGTCCACCATGGTCTCTACGCCTGGGTTCTTTTCAACCCTGAATCTTTAGTCAGTAAGTACAGCTCCTGTTCCCGGTACCTTCCAGTGCAAGGTTTCATTTAGGACCCAAGGACAGAATGAGAAGTAAGCCACATCCATCATGAAAAGTCATAAAGAAGAACTAGCATGTTCTTCTGTAAGTCATGTTAACTAATGTGCGCCTATTGGGCACTCAGAGGCCTGAGAGTTTTTTTGTTTGCTTGCTTCTTTTTTCGAGACAGGGTCTCTCTGTATAGCTCTGTCTGTCCTGGAACTCACTCTGTAGACCGGGCTGGCATGGAACTCACAGAGATGTACCTACCTCTGCCTCTTAATTGCTGGGATTAAAGGCGTGCAACACCACTAGCTTGATGACCTGATAATTTTGCCTTTTATGCATGAGCTTTTTCATTTGTCCTCACAACTCTACAAGTAAACACATTACTATCTCCATTTTTCCAGATGAGGAAGTGAGGTACTGACTTGATCATCCAGGTCTCGAGACACTATCAGAATCCAAGTGGTCTGGTGCAGAGGTTTGTATTCTCAGCCATGCTGCTAAGGGTGTTAACAAAAAGAGGCATCCAACCTTTGGGGGTAGAGGGAGGTGGTGTGGAGATTGTGCCGTCTAAGCAGGACACTAGAGACAAGTTAGATGGAAGCCCAACTGACCAGAGAGGAAAGAGGAGCTGATATGTACAAAGACACAAGGAAACTAGAATCTTCTGTGAGCAAGGCACGTCCTTGAGATTTACAGCGAAGAACACAGCCAAAGTGCACTCCCCTAAATCTTGTTAGGGGTTCAGCCTTTCTCCACAGGCAATGGGAAGCAAGCAAAGAACCATAAGGAAGGAAATGACACCATCAGACTTGTGATCTCAAAGTCTGCAACAGCTGGAGTCTGGAGACTAGGCCTCAAGCAGTTAGGACCTCAAGCTGGGTCTGGTGAGAAGCTGGTAACAAGGGTGGTAACAGAGAAGGTTCAGGAGTTAGCTCTCCTGACACCTCTGGGCACACTGAGGGTCAAGGGTGTAAGGCGACTCTGGAGTTCCTCTTTGGGATAAGACAAAAGTGGAGGGATGAATTTACAGATAAAAGATCAGCTAGGAGCTGGGCGGTGGTGGTGCACACCTTTAATCCCAGCACTCAGGAGGCAGAGGCAGGCGGATCTCTGAGTTCGAGGCCAGCCTGGTCTACAAGAGCTAGTTCCAGGACAGGCTCCAAAAGCTACAAAGAAACCCTGTCTCGAAAAACCAAAAAATAAAAAAAAAAAAAGATCAGCTCAGTTTTGAAACACGCACACTCCATCTGAAGTGAAGGAGGAGGCAGAGACAGCTTGACAATTTAAGAGACCCTGAAAAGGGATGTGTGTCGTCAATCTGGATATAGTCAGTAGACCTGAAGCTACAACAGTGGATGAGGCCATCCAAGATCAGTGCACAGAGAGGAGAGCTGGGTCAGAGAGAATGTGAAGCGGTACTTCTAACCTCCTGTCAGAGGCAGGGATAAAAAAAAATCAGGAAATATAAGAGAATCAAAGGGTGGGAGCATGTCAGGAATGAGAACCAATGGTAATAGGCACTTCTGAGGAATAAAGAAAAGTTTAAAGGACCTTTCTGATATCATTAGGAAGTTACTCGTGGATGTTTCCAACCGAAGTTAGAGAAAACAGTGGCGGGCAGAGATGCAGACTATTGATAAGTATGTTTTTCTCCTTCTGATTCTGACCCCTTCCCACACCCAACCGTTGCCCCACAAATACTCAGATACCGACCCCTCGTCTTTCCTTTCGTTATCAAGAAGAATGCTTAGGAAAGCGACCACAGACGCCTCCCAGGCCCTCTGGCTGGGTAAAGACCAAAACACCCGCTCCCCAGCCCCGCGCGCAAAGCAGCAGCCGGCAGAGAGGAAGGGGGCGGAACCCGGAGCGCGAGGGGCGTGGGAAGGGTCGGACCGAACCAAAGACGGACACCGGACAGGGAAGCGGATTCCGTCGGCTAGGGGCAGCTCTCGTACCATCACCCGGTCCCAGCGACCGCTGCAGGACCCACCTGCTTCATGTCACCACGGCCCCAACTCTTCCTGCCTCAGCTGCGGTCCTGCTCCACGGCCCAAGGAACTCCTCAGAGCGGAAGAAGAGCTCCCAGCGGCGGAAGTTGCGCCGCTGAGCCCGCCCCCCAAAGCAACCCGGGATCCGTGTGGCTCTGCAGCTCCGCCCCAGTCCCGCCTCTCTCCACCCGGCGCCTCCGGGACAGAGCCGGAAGCAAAGTTAGGCTGTTAGAGGGTGCAAGAAAGGCAAAGAACTCTAGGGTGTCGTGGTTATTGGACCATACAGGCTTGGCACTGTGGTGTAAAGGGGAAGGAACGAGGGGCGGTCTGTGAGCACAGATCCCTTGGGAGAAATACATTTTTGATTTTTTGAGACAGAATTTCAGATTGGCCTCAAATTCAGAAAGCCTCCCAAGTGCTGGGATTACAGACGCGACACCACATCCATCACACTTTTAAAGGACTTCTGTTTTCCCTCGGCTTTTAGCCATTTCCCTCAGAAGCTAGTAAGTCTCTCATGCTTAAAGCCTGTGCATTTAAAAAGGCATTACGCATGAGAAACATGCTTAATGCATTTAAGGAAAGGCTCGTGGGCAGGACTGGACACCAGAGTCAAGATCCTGACCCTTGAATAACCACCATTTTCCCTGTCAGGGCATACCATTACTTCCCGGTCTCTCCTCCCTCCCCTGAAAGAGGAGTCTCAGGACAATTATTTACAAAGATTTATTACAGCATAGGAGGAGCTCAACCCTGGAGTCAGGGAAGAAGGGGAGAGGGCCAGGTAGGTGGAGGACAAGGAAAACCAAGCTCCCCACTCTGCATGGCCTCTCTAAGGACATATACTAAGTGGCATTCCTGGTACCAAAGCACAAACAAAACGCAATGAGCAGCCTCTGCCAGTCCGACTTGCAGGCACCCAGTAGAAACAGGACAATAGGGAACGACATCCAAAATGTTGAGGCTGTGGAAAGAATGCCTAAAACCTGGACCCTGGTAGAAGTCTGTGAGAGGGGTGGAGACTCAAAGCCCACCCCCATAGGAAGAGGGGACAGGGATGGAGGAGGAGGAGATTTCAGGGCACTTGCAGGTTCTTGGTACCTCCTTTCCCCAGATCTTAGGGTCCTGCCCTGTGTGTCTCCTGTGCCCAGGGGAGTGGATCTGGAGAGAATTGTGAAGGGTGAATATTTGTTTCTGGCTTTCTGAGTTTTCCAGTGTGGGCTCTCTCCCCTCCCCCCTCCCACCTGGTAAATAGAAGAATGACTGGCAGGGAGAGGCATCGGGGACTCTGGGCTTCAGCCAAAGCAAACACAGATCAGCCTTAGTCTTCTATAAGTCAGAAGCCGCAGCCCTAGCAGGTGAAAGAAAGGTACAAAGTAGGGTGGGGACAGAGTGGGTTTCTGGGGAGCACTTCCTCCTGGAGATGCAGGCCTCTGAGCTTATGTGCCAGGCTCAGGGTGGGTAGGGTGCTGAGGCTCCTCCCCGGGCTCTAAAAGACAAGTAGAGAGGACTCAAGGACTGGCTCCATGGTTTCCATCCACCTCCCCACCTCACAGTCCAAACGCTCACCACTTAGTGCTGCTCTGTCTTCCACTTGGTCCTCAGAGTTTCCATCTCTCTGGGGCTCATCCAGAGGAGGCGGGCGCTCCCAGGGCCCCTCCAGACCCTGGCCACAAGTTAGCTTCTGCCCCACTGGAAAAGAGGGCATACAAACACAGGCTAAGTGCCCATCTGGCACCCTGCAGCACAAGTGATGTCTGGTGGCTTGTGGCCAAGCTTCTGAGACAACATCGCGTAATGGGCTGAACACTGGACTGGACAACACTCTCTCTGACTGGCCATGTGACTTAGCTCATGGGCACTTTTTCGGAGGAAATATATAAGAAGAGAGGTGTAGATTACCTTAGATAAGATTATACCTACTGGGAAACTCAGTGTGGAGGCTAATGCCAGTAATGCCGGCAGTCAGGGGGCTAATGCAGGAGGATTGCTTTGAGTTCAAGGTCAGCCTGAGTTACATAGTTAAGATTCAGGCCAACCTGGATTGCAGAGTGAGACCCTACCTCAAACAAACAAAAAGGAAAAAAAAAAAAAAAAGAGCCTCTCAAGAGGCCCAGAACTGGTACCCCGAATCACTCAGGAGTGCTGAAAATAGATGTTGCTCCTTGGTGGTCCAGTAATGTAACCCAGGGACTTCTTCCCCTTCCTAAGAGAGCATCTCTCATCAATTTTCCACCTGTGGGGAGGGTCTCCAAGGGAGCTTGCTCTCAGCCCTTGAGCCCTCTCACACCCACACAGCCAAAGATGCAGAGAGGAGACTCAAGTTGTCTTGTCTGGCCCCAAGGAGTGAACACTAAGTGGGAGACTGCTCATCATTCCCGTAAACAATGGATCCAAGCTGGGCGGTGGTAGCATACACCTTTAATCCCAGCACTGGGGAGGCAGAGGCAGGAGATCTCTGTGAGTTCAAGGCTAGCCTGGTCTACAGAGTGAGTTCCAAGACAGCCAGAGCTGTTGCACAGAGAAACCTAGTCTGAAAAAAATGAAGAAGGAGGAGGAGGAGGAGGAGGAGGAGGAGGAAGAGGAGGAAGAGGAGGAGGAGGAAAGAAAAAGAAGAAGAAAAGAAAGGTCCAAAAAAACACAGTGCAAAAACTTTAATGTTTGCACCAGGTGAGACAGACATAGAATAGCAGGTATGGAAGCTGTAACCATGTGTGTGTGTGTGGGGGGGGGGGTGTGAGGTCTTTGCCCAAATGTCTGGGTGTCGGTAGCTTCTGTGGGTTTTCAGGCTGCAGCCTTCTGTTGGGCATTAAGTGCCTTATCTCCAGTCTGCTGAGGTTAAAGGGTGCAGACCAGACTGGTTCTTAAATCCTTGATTCTACATCTGGACACTAGAGGGCACTCCCCCACCCCATCCTAGGAAGGACAAAGTCTCAAGGGTCCTGGAGAGGGCAGGTCAGCCAGCCTCCTGACACAGCAGGATTCAGAAATGAGGGGAAGGGAATGCGGGCTCTCCCTGTATCCCTGAACCTCCTCACAATTTGTTTCCATGGGGTCTAGCTTCAATTGACCCGTGCCTTGCCTTAATTTTTAGTGATGAACAGTGGGAGACGCCTAATCAGGTGAAGGACTAGCCAAGGCTTTGGTGCCCAGTCTCTGAAGCTGGCCATAGAAGGACGTCACAGCATAGGTGTGGACGAACTGTGTCTGACCCACGATAGCGAAAGCCACAGACCCCGGCCTCTTCCGCTTACCGGTTCCCCTGCTACCTTTCAGGACTTCTGCCTGGCTGTCTTCCTCTTCATCCTCCTCTTCATCCTCGTCCTCATCCTCTTCTTCATCCTCTCTTGGGAACCCCAGCTCTCGAAGTTCCCCTAACTCATCCTCCTCCTCCGAGGCCTGGTTCTCACTCAAGTTGCTGATGGTCTGCAGGTGGGACTCAGCAATGCGCTGCACAGCTGGTAGAGGGGACACCCCCCCCCCCCAGGTCAAGGTCAGCCAGACTGCTGGAGCAGCCCAGGCTTGCAACTGGGGCCCCAATTCACTCCACTGGGAGGTCAAACCAAGGTGGGAGCAACAGGAAGTACATTTGATCTGATTGGTTCTTAAGCTGTTCCAAAGATGCTGTCCCCCTCCCCCAAGACTGGCACAAGAAAACTCCCCTACACCACAGGGTACCTGGCTGGGCACGACCAGGCTGGCACAGCAACAGCTTAACATTCTCTGGCCAGGGAGCTTACAGTCAGGTGCTCAGGCCTGGACAGTGTCTACCAATGCTAACGCCAGGCAGAAGGTATCAGGCCCATGGGCCACGGCCATTTTCCCTGACATGGCTCACAGGGATCCACCTTGCTGTGCCTCCCTGCCCAGTACTGCCCAGCATCAGATACCACACTGCACCTTTCCCCCAGGCTCCCTAAACAGGAACTGTCCTGAGCCTGAGGTCACAGCACTCTGCAGCCAGTAAAATCCTTGCTGGGCAAATGGACCATTCAGATGCAGCCCTCAGTCTTGACCCATATCCCTAATCTCCCAGCTCCCTCTGCGGTGACCCAGAAAGTAGCAACACCCCACCATCACACGAAGACCTGCTCAGATGCAACCTAGGAAAGGAACAGTGTGGGCGGTTTCCCAAAGATGGAAAGTGGGGGAAGAGGGAGGAAGGGATGGGCTGGGGGTTCTGGGGAATGTCAAGGTTTGAAGAAACATTGTCAGGTTAAGGCTAAAATGGAGGGACTGGGATGTAGATCACTTGGTAGACTACCTACCTACCTACCTAGCATCTACAGAGCCCTGGGTTTTGTTCCTAGTAGAGGCCTATAATTGCAGCACCCATAAGGTAGAGGCTGAAGGATAGTGAGTTCAAATGCAGACTTAGCTACATAGTGAGGTCTAATCTAGTCTGGGGTACATAAACAACCCCCTCAAACAAAACAACACAAAAGACTAAAGCAGAGTCAGCAAGAGACCGGGGGCTATCTGGATTCTAGAGCAGGTGAGGCATTAGGTCCAGTCATAGCCCCCAGCCTAGATTCTTCAGTGGTCAATGCTTCCTGGCTACTTAATCCAACAGTGGCCCCTCCCCTTAGCAGCCCGGGGGGGTAGGCTGGAAACCTCCGGTGAAGCTAGCAGGGCCCTGCATGCCTGCCAACTCAGGGACAGGCACAGAGGGTGCATTGTGTGTGCCCAATGCCCCACCCTGCCCCAGCTCCAAACTTACCTCTTCCCTCTGGCTGTGGGCAAGCTACCCAGGCAATAAAATCGCAATAAATTGCCCTACCCTGGCCTTGGGGACCCGGCAAAGTTTCACCTTGAGCCAACTGAGAGTGTCCTGACCTAGGAGCACCCTTTACACCCCCCACCCCTGCTCCCCTGAGGGTTAATGCTGTTCACCCTTACTGGAGGGCTCTTGAATTCTGCCCTACAAAACGCAAACCCTGCCAGACACTTGCCCTTGCCCAGAAAGGGCTTAGCTTGCCAAACAGAACCATCTTGGTACAGAAAGGCCTCTGGACTGGGGGAGAGGAGGTGGCAGGCAGGCAGTTGGGGGGAAGAGGCGGGGGAGGAGAGTTGGTTCGTGATCCACCGTGATGATAGATGTGTGCAGGGTGCCCCGTGAGATCCTGTATGCCTTATTC